TACATTTTTTTAGTAACTAGTAACTATTTTAATAGTTACTTTATTAGTTACTTTTTTGGAAACATGCGCTAAAAGTATTGTTTAAGTATGGTAGCCGTTATATTATTAAATTAAATTTTGATAACAGTAGCATATGGATCTTCATATGATTTAATCTTTTACCTAAAATTTTCATTTTGTGTACATAAATAATATAACACATAATTAAGATCGACCAATCACAGTCAAATATTTAAAAAATTCTTAAAGGTAATAATTGATCGATTTGTTCGCACTTTGCGATTACCATTTAGTAACTTACTATAACTATTTTTACTGTTGTATATAAAGGTCATTCATACATTGATGTTAATTGCAAAGTCGCAAGCAAATCGATCAATATTACATTCAAGAATTTTTTTAAATACTTGACTGTAATTGTGCATAAAATGTAAGCTCCTTATATTTAAAACAATGTATAATTATTTTTAAAAAGTAACTGAAAAGTAACGACTCGTTACTTTTAGAGTAACTGTAACTGTAACGAGTTATTTTTAAAATCGGTAACTTGTAACTGTAACTAGTTACTTTTTCAATAAAATAACTGTAACTAGTTACTTTTACAAAGTAACTTTTCCAACCCTGAATTTTTCTCTCATTTAATATAATGCATGCGCCCTCTCATTCATATAATTAAAAATGTAGAAAGTACAAGAAGATGATGTACGTGCATACATCTATAATGAACATATTTATAGAGTCTGACAGAGCGCGAGTGCGCATGCGTCTCTCAGTACTCGAAAGGAACGGACGAGAGGCTCATCTAAAGCGTCGAAAGAACCGAGACGGTCCGTACGGAGATTCCGACAAGTGGGATGGAAAAGGTGCCGGCGAGTGAGGAAGGGGACATAATTTTTTCAATGTGCGTTGGTGGGATCAGAGCGGGTGGTCGGCTCGGCCAGCGACGAGTCCGTTCACTATAGTCCCCGCTATGGCAAGTATAGGATCGAGTAGACTTTGTGCTCACGCGGAGAAACTGTGCCAGTACGGACATTTCACCCAATTACGGAGGAAAGTTTCGACGACATGTGCGAAATCGCGACCGGATGCCTCGCGAACGAGCGGCGTGCTCTTCCAACACTGCCAGGTACGTTTTATTATTTATTCTCTCGATCTCGAATTGGCCCGCGTTCAGCCTCTCAACCAGGTCTTCCGGAGATTACCGACGATTTTCGAGCGCGATGCGATCGAAAAAACGCGCTGTTCCAGTCAATTTTCGCCCGATTTTCCTATTTCTTTTCGAGAAAGAGCCGACATAACCTACACTCACGAGTGACAGATTCGCGGCGTTTTGTCGCATAATCGAGTCGCGAGATCGCTGAACGCTGACAGTGACCTAGAATTGGAACAAATTATTCAAGTATTTCGTAGTATTACATTCGAAACGTGTACTTTCAAGTGATTGTTCCTTATGATTTTCGTTACATAAATTACATAACACATGGCTCGAGTAAGGTAGCAACTAGCGACCGTAATTCTGCTTGTCTTTATGGGTTATGTGTACTTGCCCTTATGAAACTAAGGGCCGAAACATAATTGTTACTTCTAGAATATGTATGCATAGGTAGAATAAGGTGACTTGATTGGTAAATATTTGAAACATCGTGATTTTACTGTCCTGTCAATTCTAGCAGACGATCTATACGACGTCTGCTAGTGAAGTTTCGCACGAGTCAAACGAGCGTCAAACGAGTGACAGTTTCTTGACAAAGACGCAAGAATTTTTAAATAAATAATCAGGCACGCATGATTATAATAATTCGTGCATAATACAGCCTCGTAATAAAAAGATTTAGTCGTAAAGCGGATAGATGTGTTGCATTGTTTTTAGAGATTGCATTGACTACGTGAGCGAATTCACGTTGTCTTTCTACGCATGCGCATTTAGCATTTAAATGCACTAACCTGCACATAGTATATTGCACGATGAAATATTGCTCGAATTTTATATTTTCACTTTAAAGATTTATTTACATGTTAAAAAAATGATATTTTTGAGAATAATTATATAACAAATATGCATATAATTAAGAAATTCATAAAAATCAGTGAATAAATAATGAGAAAATTCTGAAAAAAAAACGAAATATTAATTTAAAAAAGTGCAAATTTCTCGTATAAAACAAGTATTTCAATGCAGATATATTTTATTTTTATTTCAATGCACTCTTTGAAATTTTTCTATATTTAAGTAAAAGTAAAAGAACATTTATATATTCGGATTCTTTTAAAAATATTGTCCCTAAAAAAAGCATGTTGACGCTTTGCGCGCGTCATTGTTACGATTTTACTTAATAATTTTATGTAATTTTATTTAATTTTATTTTTATGAACTTGCCAAATTATTAATCCTCGCAATGACAGCTGCTACACAACACAAGCGCGTGCTTATACTTTCTAATATAATTCACAATTGATTAATGTTTATAAATAACCTCTAACAACTTTACAAAAATAAAACTAAACATATTGATTTTCATGTGTTTGTACTTATTGCAAAACAAGAAAAGTGAAAAGTTATAATTTTAAAAAATAATATAATTGCAATATTATATAAACATTTATAACACATTTAATAATCTCATAACACATTTAATATGCAACACATATAATATAATATTATTTATAATATAATATTTATAATATTGCAACACATGCAATATTATAAACATTTATAACACATTTAATAATCTTATATTGTAAAAATTTATTTTTTTAATTGCTTGCGTCAAGCGTGACTTTTTAATTGTTGAACTTGTTGTACTTGTTTTTTTTTCCGACATAGAATATGTATCTATTTCTGTGATAAAATCTACATCTGTCATTAAAAATGAGAAGTATAATTTTCAACGGAAAATTACCATCAACTATAACGTGCATTAATTAATTATACATTTGCAATTATATTGCAAAACGCTTACAAGCAGAAAAATTTAAAAGCATTATGCAACGATCTTACAATTAAATTATTACAATATCAGCTGATATTTTAATCATTATTAGACATAATTCTGAACCTAATTGTATTACAAAAATATAAGATTAGAATATAAATAACGACAATTTATCTTTTGTTTTTTTTTAATTTGCATTTTCGGTTCATTTGCATGTTTTGATTAAAGTATCAGCGAATGTATAATCAATTAAGACGCTTCATAATACGCTAAATAATGGCAATTTTGCGTAAAAACAACTTTTTACGTTGAAAATTTAACTTCTTATTTTGAATAATAGATGTAGATGTTTTCTCATAGAAATACATATACATTCTGTTGGGAAAAAACAACTTCAATAAATTAAACGTCTCTATATAAAAAAGCTATTAAAAATCATGCTTGATGCAAGCAATTTAAAAAAATATATAATATGAGATTATTAAATGTATTATATTATAAACGTTTATATGTTGGTAAAAATTAATAATTATTAATTTTTAAAGAAATAACTTTACTTTTCTATTTTGTTTGCAATAAATGTGGACACATAAAAATCAATATGTTCAGTTTTATTTTTTGTAAAGTTGTTAGAAGTGATTTATAAACATTAATCAATAGTGAATTATATTAGAAATTATACGCGCATGCTTGTGTTGTTCAGCAGCTGTCATCGTGAGAGTTAACAATTTGACAATTGTTCAAAATAAAATTAAATAAAATTACTAAAAATCATTACGTAAAATCGGAATGTGTATGTTGTCTAGTAATTTTCAAAAATATCGTCGATTTTCATATATCAAGTTGTCAATAGGTCTGGTTTTTTTTGGCTGAATTCAGCTGAACTGGCTGCATTAATTCAGAGTGTATCTCTTTTTTTCCAATTTAAAAACATAAAAAATTTTAAATTTATTCGAATAAAAATAAAATGCGATAGAAATAATTATTTTTAATTGTATTACATATAACGGTTCACAAATAGCGTTTTAAACGTTAAGACCATTCCTTATTAAAATCGTAAATGAGAATTCTTATGAAAAAAATATATAATTAATATATATATATATATATATATATATATATATATTTTTTTTTTTTTTTTTTTTTTTTTTTTTTTTTTTTAATATATATGTATGTGTATTGAATGATTTTTCATTAATGGGAAGAAATTAACATATCCAAACATACAAATAAACATCTTCAATAGATTTAATTTGATTAAATTTAATTTTAATGAATCTTATATGGAATTAAATTCATATATCAACTTTCTTAATTTGACACATTTGATATGGGCGTATCCTATTGTGGAGTGTGATGATTAGTTATTAGTAAATGAAAAAGAAAATCTTAATCTTTAATATACATACTTTGCGAATCACTCGATACATTCCCGAGAAACTACAGTTGCAATTTTCGAGCCACGGCGTACGTGCGAAATCGCGACTTTCTCGGATCGAAAGTGTCGTGGAAGAAGCGTGGTTTTAAAATTCCGACACAATAATTGACAAAAAAAATGGTCAATCCGGAGACGGAGCTAATCGCATTATGCAAGACTTAGATAAACCGCGTCACCGAACGACGTCCACCTTGTTTTGCACAGCGGATATTCGTGCTTTTTTCACGAGAACGATGCCGATGCGACGACGATGGTCAATATTATTGAATCGCGACGGCGATCGGTGGCGCGGCACGACGAATTTCGAGCCACGCTAGTGTAAGTAGGCTAACAGGCTTTGCGAGAGATACTTCTTGGAGAGCATGCCGGCACCGCGCTCTTGACTTTCTCGGCTTGACCAGCTATAGTGCGCGTCTCCACACCTGTTTTTACCGCGAGATATTCTGTGTGACTTTTACTTCTCTCGTGGAAGCGACACTTTCCGATCGAAAGCGAAAATCGCAGAAATCGAAACTTCTCATAATCTCTATCTATTACTCGTATATATGCATATTTATAAATATGCGTCCGATCTATGTATATACTTGCAAAAATGCATTGGACTTTTAATTGCTAAAATACAAGAATTTCCACATTTACTCGTGCCATGATTATATGTATATATATTATGCATACAACATTTATCACTCTCTGTTGTAATATTTTAATTCTAAATAGTTTAAATTAATTTTTTTAATATTCAATCGTTTCGTTGTGTCTTTCAGCTTATTTAATTAAATTTTTAATTAATACACATACCTATAATTTTCGCAATAATTTATTCAATAATTTATATAATAATCAAGTATTACAGTATTAATTGCAATAAAAATTTTATTACATAGACGAAATTGAATAAATAAAACATAAGACGAATTTATATAAGATAGATAAAAGATAAAATAATCTGTATATTAATAAGTATATAAATTTGATTGAAAACATTAGAATTATTAGAAACTGAATTATGTAATCATCATCTCTTAAAAAATATCAAATTTATTTTATAGTATTGACCAAGCATACATTTTTTTAATCTGTTTGTGCGTAAATTTATTACATACCTTAAATCATGTAATTTATTGCTAAGGTTGAATTGTGGATCCATTAGTGAAATGATACTGTGGAGTTATGTGAAATATTGGTAATATTAATTAATTCTTACACGTGTAAAATTATAATATCACTATATGTTATATCGCTCCAGCGGAGCACGAATAATTTGGGGAATAACCGTTATTTCAAGAAATTAAAATCAAATTTACAAGATTATAGAATCGTGAAAGTCCTTTCCAAAGTTAAGAAAGATATTTAACACATAAATTTTTTGAATAAATCACAATACTTGAAATTAATATATTTATTTTACAAAATTCTCCGATGCTACTCTTCCGGCTAAGCCCGGTTGGGAATCCTAATACGCAATGCAGATTGAGCATAATTATTTTTATACATATTTTAGGAACAACATAATTAGCATGTTTTTTTCGCTATCAAGTTCTTACAAAATCACTACATAATCAAAAATTACTGACAACATTGTGATCGTATGACGCTTTCTAAATTACGACAGAAAATATTTACAATAAATTTTTTCGGGTTGCAACATCGTATATGTAAAGGTGAAAGTAAACGAAAAAATTTCACCAACTATATCCTGAATTCTTATACGATATCCTATTGCAATGCTGGAAAAAACAATTCAATGTGTCTTTT